ATGATATAATAAAAAATAAAATAAAATAAAATATACTGCTACTATGCACTATGAATATGCCTATTTTTCCCATTTGATAACATAATAATCTATCTGCCCTTGCCAAACTCTAATAAATGTATAAGTCTGTCACAGGGATCCTGCTATATCACCTGGAGGCAGAGAGGAAAACTTGCAGTTTATAAAGTCTGTTCTGTCTTGTTTAAATAAAAACGATGGCCAGGCAAGGTGGCTCACACATGTAATCCTAGCACTCTGGAAGGCTGAGTTTGGTGGATCACTTGAGGTCAGGAATAGGAGGTCAACCTAAGGAAGAGTGAGACCTTATCTGTACTAAAAATAGAAAAAACTAGCTGGGCATCATGGCAGGTGCCTATAGTGCCAGCTACTTGGGGGGCTGAGACAAGAGGATGACTTGTGCCCAAGAGTTCAAGGTTGCTGTGAGCTATGATACTACAGTACTCTACCAAAGTGACAGAGTCTCACTCTGTCTCAAAAAAAGAAGAAAAAAGGAAAAAAAAAAAAAGGAAAAACGAAACCCACATTTAGTGATCTAGTTTAAAATGAAAATGTATTTTTAAAAGAATTTTTCATTTTACTTATTCATAATCCCCAAATATGCAAATAAGAGTTTCTCTAATATTTTATCATAAAAATATATCTCTCAAGCCCCCACCTCTAAGATTTGACCAGTAAGAATAACTTCAATCACCAAAAATCTCATAAAAATTATTTTTTATCTTGAACTCATTTCTACCACTAAATATACAGAACAGTGTCCATTTCTGAGCCAAATTGTTTAGATGTAATATTTAGAATATTATGGCATTATTATGTACTATTTGTATATATTTTCACCCTTATTACCTACTAATCTCTGTAACAATCCTTTAAGGCAGGTATTTTTAGACTTACAAAATTTTAGACATAAAATTCTAGACTTCATAGCCAACCTGTATAATAGATAATGAACCTGCCTTTCAGAAAGATGAAGTAATCTATTAAAGACCCAACAGCTGCTACGTAATAAAAATGAGACAGGAGAGGTCTTTTTTCCCCTTCAGTCATTATGCTACACCTACTTAAGAGCCAGAAGTCAAGCTTTCTCATGTGAAACTGTTAAAAACCCCCTCCACACTCCAGGAATATGTGTAACATAAAAATAATGAAATTATATTTAAGGTTATGTTTAAATTTTTCTAGTCATTTCCTTGAGTTTTGTATAAGCTTTATCATAGATAAAATAAGCTTACTATTACTGATGCACAGTTTAGGTTTTGAGATCAATTAGGCTTCCAAAAAGTCACTATTAAAATTTAAGAATAAATTCATGTTTACAATCTACATACTTCCAAAAAGTCACTATTATAATTTAAGAATAGATGTTTACAATCTACATACCTGATTCTCCATTTCAGGCAAAACAGTACTATTCATCTGTTCTCCTTTTTTACCTTTCAACAACCGGTTGAGGTCCTGATAAATGTCCTTTGTGGAAAAGTCAGCTTTCTTTCTTTCTGTTATCAGAATTCCTCCCCTCTGAATAACCTATTTTACAAGAAATAGTTCAAACTGCTATGATAAAAGGAATGAGAAAAGCAATGAAGAAAATTTTAACACTTGTAAATACAAAGTGACAAGAACTTAACAGATTATTAACCCGTACTAAATGGTTACACAGTGTGCAAAACATTGGTAACCTATATGTATAAATACATTTTGGCAGTACCTGTGGCTCTGTGGGTAGGGCGCTGGCCCCATATACCAAGAGTGGTGGGTTCAAACCTGGCCCTGGCCAAACTGTAACAAAAAAACAGCCAGGTGTTGTGGCAGGTGCCTATAGTCCCAGCTACTCTGGAGGCTGGGGCAAAAGAATCACCTAAGCCCAGGAGTTGGAGGTTGCTGTGAGCTATGATGCTACAGCACTCTACCGAGGGCCATAAGGTGAGACACTTGTCTCTAAAAAAAAAATAAATAAATAGTAAAAATCTATAAAATTGATTTTTATTAAAATATAATATTACATAATATATTACACTTGTAATCTTAGCATTCTGAAAGACCAAGGCAGGTGGATAGCCTGAGCTCAGGTATTCTAGACCAGTCTGAACATGAGCAAGACCCCATCTTTACTAAAAACAGAAAAACTAGCCAGCTAGTTGGGAGGCTAAGCCCAGAGGATCACTCAAACCCAAGAGTTTGAGGTTGCTGTGAGCTATGACGCCATGACACTCAAACCAATGCCACAGAGTAAGACTCTGTCTCAGTCAACAACAACAAAAACTCATAATAGGATATGACTTGTGGGACCAGGTACAGTAAGTGGCTCATGTCTGTGGTCCATGCACTCTGGGGGGCCAGGGCAGGAGGACTGCTTGAGTAATCCTCTTGAGTTCAAAACCAGACTCAGCAAGAGTGAGACCTGTCTCTACCAAAAGTAGAAAAAATACTGGGCACTGTGATGCACACCTGTAGTCCCAGCTACTCCAGAGGCTGAGGCAGGAAGATAGCTTAAACCCAGGAGTTAAAGGTTGCAGTAAGCTATGATGATACCACTGCACTCTACCTAGGTGACAGAGTGAGATTCTGCCTCAAAACAAAAATAAGAAAATTAAACTAAAAAAATTAAAAGAATTTCACTTGTGGAAATTTGCTGAGACACTGTCCATGCTAAAAATGACAATCATACATTTGCACAGCATGTTCATGGTATGTGAGGCCCACAAAAAGAAAGAATCCTTGGTAGATACAACTTCCTTTAAGAAACATCTAAATAGGCTTGGCGCCTATGGCTCAAGTGGCTAAGATGCCAGCCACATACACCTAAAGGTGGCAGGTTCGAATCCAGCCCAGGCCCGCCAAACAACAATGATGGCTGCAACCAAAAAAATAGCGGGGTATTGTGGCAGGTGCCTGTGGTCCCAGCTACTTGGGAGGCTGAGGCAGGAGACTCGCTTGAGCCCAGGAGTTAGAGGTTGCTGTGAGCTGTGATGCCACGGCACTTTACCCAGGGGGACAGCTTGAGGCTCTGTCTCAAAAAAAAAAAAAAGAAAAAAGAAATATCTAAATAATAAATCATATACCCTATATAATCAGTAAAATAAGAGAGTATATAGTTCCATTCAAGCTATCAAAAAATAACCCAAAAGAACTGCATCTTATTTGATAAATCATATAGTAATATTTGCAATAGTAATTATTCTTCTGGAACAAAGTAAGATAAGGAAGGAGAGAGGCTGGGAGAGAGGGAAGGAGAGGAGACAAGATGAGAAAATAAAATATGAGAAACAGCTTGCTCTGATGTCTAATTAAACACACAAAGTTTCCATCTCAAAGGAGAGAAAGGAGAGAGGATGGAAAGAGGGAAGGAGATGTGAAAACAAAATATGAGAAACAGCTTGCTCTGATGTCTAATTAAACACACAAAGTTTTCATCTCAAAGGAGAGAAAGGAGAAAGGATGGAGAGAGGGAAGGAGAGGAGACAAGATCTGAGATAAAATATGAGAAACAGCTTGCTATGATGTCTAATTAAAGACACAAATTTTCCATCTCAGATTAAACATTATTTTGTTCCTCAAAATGAAACATTAATTAGATACAAAAAATTTGACTTTTGAATTAATTTATTTCTTAAATAAAAGAGTATCATTTTAATTAAAGAGCTTTTCCTAGGTTCAGACTCTTTATCCTTAGAGCTGTCTCTTAGAGCTCTTACCTGTCTTAGTTTCCCCATCTCTCCAGCTGTCTCTCCTCCTGGTAAAACACATTCCTTTGGTCCAATCTGAATCAGGAGTGCCTCAAGATTGGAGAACTGATCGTTGTCAGGGAACTCACACAGTCCTAGCTTCCTCTGTATAGAATCAACATACCCAACTCCAACCTGCCTCTGGCCATCGACTGTGGATATTTTAACACCCACAACACCAATGGAAGCAGACATATCATTGTTACCAAAGAGAATGTCTTCAAATTGAGATAGATTGCCGGGAGAAGCCTAAACAAAAAATAAAATTTTTTAAGAAACTTAACATACTTTGAAATTTCACTAGCAAACAAGAATTACCCAAACTTGATGAATTTTATTAACTTTTCCTTACAAAAAAAAATTCTGATTATTATTACATTTTCTATAAAATATTCTTCCTGTTTCCAAATATTCTCAGAACACTTGGGCACATCTAAAAATAATAGTATCAAAAGTGATTTTCAGTCTGAAGTTTGGCAGCTGTGTTTATACACACACAATCATTAAAGTACCCAAACTGGTAATCCTGTTAGTGCTGTGCTTAAATTTCTATATTCTCGACTACCTAATGGTTGCTCATATCAGTATTTTCACTAAGTAGATACACCACATAGGAGAATAGTACTATTAGCTTAAATATTGAACTGGGAAAGATACCTCTAAGTCAATAAACACATTTATTTATAAAATGTAGAAATTGTTCTAGATCATGATTTCCAAATAAAAGGCCCCTGGCCTATTTTCAATACAAGTTGAGTATCTCTAATTAAAAAATTCAAAATGCTCCAAAATCTAAAATTTTTTGCACAGAAATATGGTGGCACAAGTGGAAAATTCCAAATATTAAGTACTTAATACAAACTTTATTTCATGTACCAAATTATTTAAATATTGTATAAAATTACCTTCAGGCTATGTACATAAGGTATATATGAAACAAATGAATTCCATGTTGTTTGGGAGGCCTGGGCTGGATTTGAACCGACCAGCTCTGGTGTATGTGGCTGGTACCCTAACCACTGAGCTATAGGCGCCGAGCCAGATCTGAACTTCTTAAAATGTCAGGATGAAGATATCATCTTTTTAACCTGGTAAAGATACACATCTTAAGATTTTTCCCCTGACCTAAAGGGTTGGAGTTTAAAAAAAAAATTCACCTTGAAGAATTCTGATATGACATTAAGGGAGGTATAGGGAGGTATGATCAGGTGATCATCCTGGTAACCATCTGAATTTGTGATTCCATATTTTGTTTTGTTACTTATTCAGTTCTGTTAAGAATGGGATAGAAGGCTCGGCACCTGTGGCTCAAGTGGCTAAGGCGCC